CCTCCTCCGCCTGCTGGCCCGGAGTCTCCCGGAACCAAACTGGCAGGGAAGAGCGCTTCCGGTGGATGCCAGTGTTGGGCTGGGGAACTTCCGGGTCTGGGGGCAGCGCGGCCGGCAGCGGGAGCGATGGGGGGGGTCTCCAGGCGAGAACTTTGAGAGGCTGGTCCCTGGAGTCTCTCTGCAATTTAAGTGCTACTTGTTTGGAAATGTTGGAGGGAGGAGAGCTGAAGAAGGCCGAAACCGAGGTAGGGAATTGGGGAGAAGTGAATGGGACCCCGGAGTTTAGCAGTGAGAGTCCCTCCAGAATGACGAGATGTGATGACTTAAACCTAGAGTTATAAACAGCAGGTCTACATTATAAAATAAGGACGTAGGTTGAGGAAAACAATTGTGCTTATTCCTACTTAGAATTATACCACATAATTACTTTGTCTGTTTTCCCATTAGTTGTAAGTTCCGTGAAAGCAATTTTCAGCAAGCATAATACACACTGGCACAATGCGCCTAATAGATATTTATTTCATGCCTCAGTGACTGAGAATAATACTTAAAAGACTAAGAAGCAGTACTATAACATGTCTGAGTCCCCGATAAAGTATTTTATTAGAAATAGACAAGTGAGGATGGATTATTTTATATTACAAAACTCAGTTTAAGGAATTATGTATACCATTTACAAGTTTTGTACTGACCAAGATATATCTAAATTTTTGAACTGTTTTCTAGTACGATTGCCCTGGTGTCAGTCCCTACGTAAACAATATGTGTGATGTGTGTGTTGGGGATGTGGATATTCAAGAGAGGAACCTCTTGGCAAGCGCAACAGTGATTCTGTTGTACAATCATGTTAGGAACCACTGTACTTACTCCTTATGTATACGTTTGTAAAAGGTTTTAATACTTTATTTTAAAGAGTGATTAATATTTATCATGGGCTCTCTTTGTGGTAATCACTGTTCTAAGTATTTTAAACGAACGTATTTCTTATTTAATCTTTGTAAGGTGTTCTTTTGTAGTTTGGCTGAAGCATCAGCTATCTCACCTGGCTTGCTCACATGAGCCTCAGGTGATCTAGGGTGGGCTCAGCTGGTTGGTTCTACTTCAGGTTACAGGTCATTCAGATGACTGAACCATACTCTCCTTGCACTAGCAGGCTGGTCAGGGTATGTTCTCATGGCGATGGCAGAGGTACAAGAAGTAAGCTTTGCTTGCATTACGTGTCTGATAGTCCTTAAGTCCCATGGCCAAGCCCAAATATCAAGGGTGAGAGAGAAACACTCAGCCTTTTTAGTTGTAGAAACTGCAGTTATAAAAAGAGGTGTGAATAAAGGGAGGAGCAGGGCCAACTATCTGTCTCATATGGAAAATAATCCAGATACATTCTCCTATTAACCATAGAAAAAATTCCAAATGGAATAAAGGTCTAAGTATAAGAAACAGTGAAGTCTCCTGCAATTCAGATACACATGAGACCAAATCCTGCTTACAAGGAAGTGTTCTATAAAAACTATTTGTCAGATTTCGAGGGCTCATGGGGCTCAAATCTTCCAAAGGGAAGAATTGAATCCCCCACCATCTTTCAGGGATGACAAGACAAAGACCTGCCAGGCTCTTGATTAAAACCCCAAGGAACACATGGAGTGACAGGATCTAGGCCGAGGCGGCCTGAGTCTTATTTAAAATGCAACCTAGCTCAATTTCTGATTACACTGAGGTAATCAATCTCACCTTATCTGCCTAAAAAAAGAAAGGTGGAAACTCTCGCTGGTGGGAGATAAGTACAACACATAATATCCAGCATATAGTAGTAGTAGATATGTAAAGAGGCAGGAAACTGACTGATAATCAAGAGCAAAAACAAATAATAGGAACATATCCATGGACAATCAAAACATTGAAGATGAGAGGTAAGGACTTAAAAATAACTGATTAATGTATTCAAAAAAATGGAGGAAAATGTACAAAAATGGTTGAAAAGATAGGATGCTTCAACAGAAAACTTCAGTCTATAAGAAAACAATCAAATACATATTCTAGGTTATAAAAATAGCTAAAATTAATAACCCATAGGATAGGTTTACTAAGACTTGACACAGCACCAAACAGTGTTAGTGAACTCAAAGACTGGTCAATGGAAAAACCCAAAGCTCAGTGTAGCTCAGGAGATTTCAACTCCCGGCAAGTTCATTCTCGATACGGTAAGCCTGAAAAACAACAATGGAACATTTTGGGTAAATGTGGCAGGTCAAGCTTTTTCTGTGGCAGGTCAAGTGCTAGAATTTAGTCCACATCCGTGGATCCGCATCCATGTGCAGCAAGTCCACCATCCACAGTCTGCCTTGGCACATAAGTGCCTAGTGGTCACCCTTTTCATACAATAGTGGCTCACTGCCAACACAGGTGTGAGCATGCACCTGCGCAGTAGGTCCAGTATTACAGTGGACAAGTAGATTAGGATCATATGAGGATCCTGGCTATGGGAACTTCCATTTTCCCTACATTCAGAAAGAACAGAGTGTAAAGTAATTTGGGATGCACATTGAAAATTTACAGATATTTAAAGGCCAATAAAGGAGTACTATGAATAACACCCCTTTCTGCTTCCTTTGGCCACAAATAACCATTTTTTCTTAGTTTATGTGTTCTTTGGCACATTTCTGTTTGTGATTTGCAGAATATTCCATTGCACAGCACCTTGTAGGTTAATACTAATCAGATTCACCCTATTTTAATTTTATGTGTTTATGTCTGTCAGTGTCCCCACTAGACTGAGCTCCTCTGGGGCAGAGACCATGTCTTGTTCATCTTTGTGCTCACAGTGCCTGGCGTGTTGATGATGCTCAGTATACTGCTGTTGAACAGTAGACCAGGCCACACAGAGGCTCACAGATAACCTGAAAGGAAGCTGGGATTTTAAACCCAAAAGCACACGGGAATCGGCTATCTATCAACTCTAGTATTTTATCTGTCTAGTAGCAAATATTAGGTTGTTAATGCAGTTAACCCCAAGCGTTATTCTAAATTTAAAGAAGTCAGTCCTCCTGGCTGTAGTTAATGCCTTCAGAAAGACAGCCTGTTCCAGAAAAAGTGTATTGGTGGGATTGGGCCAAAGGTAGAATTTCCAGGAACAGTAACCATAGATTTGATCAGTGGTTATAGATTTTCTGTGGAATCTCAGTTTTTAATATTTATTACTTTAGTTACGTGACTGCCCTGTATCCATTAGATGGTGTTCTTGTTGTAAGTTTGGAAAGATGATGTAAATGTTATCTGGTTTCCAGGCTTTTTCAGTTGTGTCTTTCAGAAAAAAAAATTTCAGCTGACATCTCTAAAGTAACTTAAGAAATGTACACAAAAATAGAATGTAAGGGTGAAATAAAATATGCAATAAAATATGCAAATTGATGTTCTACTATTCCCTCACCCTTGGAATATCCTTCACACTTGCTGTGGTTCATGCCGCCCGCTTTGGGGAACACTGATGGAAAGGCAGAGGCAGTATTTGCACTCTCTAGTCAGGGGAAGGGCCCTGGACTCTTTCAGAGAACCCCCACCTCTCCAATCAGCGGGGAAGCAGCCTCAAGGTGGGACTAAAGCTAATTGACTCTAGAATTGTTTTAATATAGCAGAGTTCTCAGCTTAGGTCCTTAAGGCAACTTCTAGAGAACTCGGGTATGAATTCTCCAGCCACGCCTGCAGGAGGACAGCTCACTTCCCCAAGGGCTGTGACTCCTTAGTGCCTCAACCCATCTCCCAGCTTCCTGTTTGGAACAGGTTCTTGGCCCACTCTGCAGCTTTACATTTCACATTCTCCCTCACTGAATGCAGAATCCTCTGCCTGTTAATCCTTTTTTAAAGCTGGAACCTGTTAGCCCTTCACCTACATGTCTGTGGATTTTTCATGTCACTCTACTAGAGTGGATACTCTCAAAGTAGGCTTGTCATTTCATTCATAATGTACCTCATAGGAATTCACTAGCATCTAAGACAGGGAAGTTGGTATATCATGGTCCAATCTTAATACAGAGATATTCCAATACACTTCATAGAAAAACATCACATAGTATATTGTCACTAACATTTTCACATCCTTGTCAAAGGCAAGTAAGATTTCCCCACCCAACACTGTCATTGCTCCCCCTCTACTGCTCACTCCTGCCCACATGTCATAAACAAGTCATTGCACATACAAAAGATAACTCCTTAGGAAGAAAAACGATAGTAGGAATAGGATGTCATTATGTTAGAAAAGAATCCTAACCAATTCAAAAGAACAAAAGGAAAAAATGTAAGCTAAAAACAATTGAACATTAATTACTAAATCACTGTAATTTTTCCATAACCTTAAAGATATTTTTTAAAAATATGTGAAGAATTAAGTACAAGAGAACATACAAAAAGGAGAGTCATGTACTGCGTCTTTAGAGTTAATAAGGTAACAACAAGCATCTGTCTTACACGCAGCTTAATAAAACATTACTGATAGAGTTGAAGCTCTGATCTAGGCCGAGGCGGCCTGAGTCTTATTTAAAATGCAACCTAGCTCAATTTCTGATTACACTGAGGTAATCAATCTCACCTTATCTGCCTAAAAAAAGAAAGGTGGAAACTCTCGCTGGTGGGAGATAAGTACAACACATAATATCCAGCATATAGTAGTAGTAGATATGTAAAGAGGCAGGAAACTGACTGATAATCAAGAGCAAAAACAAATAATAGGAACATATCCATGGACAATCAAAACATTGAAGATGAGAGGTAAGGACTTAAAAATAACTGATTAATGTATTCAAAAAAATGGAGGAAAATGTACAAAAATGGTTGAAAAGATAGGATGCTTCAACAGAAAACTTCAGTCTATAAGAAAACAATCAAATACATATTCTAGGTTATAAAAATAGCTAAAATTAATAACCCATAGGATAGGTTTACTAAGACTTGACACAGCACCAAACAGTGTTAGTGAACTCAAAGACTGGTCAATGGAAAAACCCAAAGCTCAGTGTAGCTCAGGAGATTTCAACTCCCGGCAAGTTCATTCTCGATACGGTAAGCCTGAAAAACAACAATGGAACATTTTGGGTAAATGTGGCAGGTCAAGCTTTTTCTGTGGCAGGTCAAGTGCTAGAATTTAGTCCACATCCGTGGATCCGCATCCATGTGCAGCAAGTCCACCATCCACAGTCTGCCTTGGCACATAAGTGCCTAGTGGTCACCCTTTTCATACAATAGTGGCTCACTGCCAACACAGGTGTGAGCATGCACCTGCGCAGTAGGTCCAGTATTACAGTGGACAAGTAGATTAGGATCATATGAGGATCCTGGCTATGGGAACTTCCATTTTCCCTACACTCAGAAAGAACAGAGTGTAAAGTAATTTGGGATGCACATTGAAAATTTACAGATATTTAAAGGCCAATAAAGGAGTACTATGAATAACATCCCTTTCTGCTTCCTTTGGCCACAAATAACCATTTTTTCTTAGTTTATGTGTTCTTTGGCACATTTCTGTTTGTGATTTGCAGAATATTCCATTGCACAGCACCTTGTAGGTTAATACTAATCAGATTCACCCTATTTTAATTTTATGTGTTTATGTCTGTCAGTGTCCCCACTAGACTGAGCTCCTCTGGGGCAGAGACCATGTCTTGTTCATCTTTGTGCTCACAGTGCCTGGCGTGTTGATGATGCTCAGTATACTGCTGTTGAACAGTAGACCAGGCCACACAGAGGCTCACAGATAACCTGAAAGGAAGCTGGGATTTTAAACCCAAAAGCACACGGGAATCGGCTATCTATCAACTCTAGTATTTTATCTGTCTAGTAGCAAATATTAGGTTGTTAATGCAGTTAACCCCAAGCGTTATTCTAAATTTAAAGAAGTCAGTCCTCCTGGCTGTAGTTAATGCCTTCAGAAAGACAGCCTGTTCCAGAAAAAGTGTGTTGGTGGGATTGGGCCAAAGGTAGAATTTCCAGGAACAGTAACCATAGATTTGATCAGTGGTTATAGATTTTCTGTGGAATCTCAGTTTTTAATATTTATTACTTTAGTTACGTGACTGCCCTGTATCCATTAGATGGTGTTCTTGTTGTAAGTTTGGAAAGATGATGTAAATGTTATCTGGTTTCCAGGCTTTTTCAGTTGTGTCTTTCAGAAAAAAAAATTTCAGCTGACATCTCTAAAGTAACTTAAGAAATGTACACAAAAATAGAATGTAAGGGTGAAATAAAATATGCAATAAAATATGCAAATTGATGTTCTACTATTCCCTCACCCTTGGGATATCCTTCACACTTGCTGTGGTTCATGCCGCCCGCTTTGGGGAACACTGATGGAAAGGCAGAGGCAGTATTTGCACTCTCTAGTCAGGGGAAGGGCCCTGGACTCTTTCAGAGAACCCCCACCTCTCCAATCAGCCGGGAAGCAGCCTCAAGGTGGGACTAAAGCTAATTGACTCTAGAATTGTTTTAATATAGCAGAGTTCTCAGCTTAGGTCCTTAAGGCAACTTCTAGAGAACTCGGGTATGAATTCTCCAGCCACGCCTGCAGGAGGACAGCTCACTTCCCCAAGGGCTGTGACTCCTTAGTGCCTCAACCCATCTCCCAGCTTCCTGTTTGGAACAGGTTCTTGGCCCACTCTGCAGCTTTACATTTCACATTCTCCCTCACTGAATGCAGAATCCTCTGCCTGTTAATCCTTTTTTAAAGCTGGAACCTGTTAGCCCTTCACCTACATGTCTGTGGATTTTTCATGTCACTCTACTAGAGTGGATACTCTCAAAGTAGGCTTGTCATTTCATTCATAATGTACCTCATAGGAATTCACTAGCATCTAAGACAGGGAAGTTGGTATATCATGGTCCAATCTTAATACAGAGATATTCCAATACACTTCATAGAAAAACATCACATAGTATATTGTCACTAACATTTTCACATCCTTGTCAAAGGCAAGTAAGATTTCCCCACCCAACACTGTCATTGCTCCCCCTCTACTGCTCACTCCTGCCCACATGTCATAAACAAGTCATTGCACATACAAAAGATAACTCCTTAGGAAGAAAAACGATAGTAGGAATAGGATGTCATTATGTTAGAAAAGAATCCTAACCAATTCAAAAGAACAAAAGGAAAAAATGTAAGCTAAAAACAATTGAACATTAATTACTAAATCACTGTAATTTTTCCATAACCTTAAAGATATTTTTAAAAAATATGTGAAGAATTAAGTACAAGAGAACATACAAAAAGGAGAGTCATGTACTGCGTCTTTAGAGTTAATAAGGTAACAACAAGCATCTGTCTTACACGCAGCTTAATAAAACATTACTGATAGAGTTGAAGCTCCTTTGTGCTCTTCCTGGTTCAAATCTCCCTCCCAGTAGCAATAACCATGACTTATCATTTCCAAGCATCTATTAAATCGGTCATCTGTTGCTGCTTCAAAGCACCCCAGAAGTCACAGGCTTACGCCAATCCTTCATACTTGCTGAAGCAGCTGTAGTTCCTGGGAGTTGCTGATCTAGGCTGGGCTCTGTCCTCTCCCACGTACTGGCCTAGTAACCCTCCACTGTCTTGTTAACTCATCAGTACCTTCAACAAGGTACTTTTTCTGTTACTCCAGCTTTTTAAAATTGTCTTTAGTGAGATGATTTGTCAGAATTATCTAATTCACAATTACTGGAAATAGAAATCTTAACATTTAACAATGGCCGTTGGTTTTAACCTTCTCTGCCAAATGTTCATAATTTTTGCCTGTTTTTTCTACTGGGTGTTTGTCTCTTCCATAATGATTTGTAGTTGTTCTTAGTTTTGAATTTATTTTGAATACTAGCTGCATTTCATCAACTGTGTTCTGAAAATATGTTCTCCCCAGATGGCAGTCAGCTTGCTTCCTTTTTGAGCTATACTTTGACATACAGAAGTTTTACATTTTAATGTTGTCAGATCATGTTTAGCTGTCTTTTAGAGTTTATAACTTATGTTCTTTAGGAAATCCTTCCACAGCATTAGATCATAAAGATATCTTCCTATACTTTCTTACAACTTTTGAAGTTTTAATATTTACATTTAGGTCTTTAATCTGGTATTGAGTCCAACTGAATTTTATTTTTCCATGTAAACAACTATTGTGCCAGCACTCTGCAAGTACATCTTTCTCACTGATCTGAAATACCACCTCGGTCAAAAAAGCAAGTATCTACCTATGTGAGGATCTGTTTCTGGCCTTGATTTTCTGTTGGTGTGATTGTCCACCACTGTGCAAACCAGTCTTACTCATAGTAAGTTCATAAATTTTGATGTCAATATATCAAATACTCCTGATCTTGTTGTCTTAAAGATTGTCTTTGCGTATATTGGCCCTTTGCTATTCCATATCTTTTAAAATTAACTGGTGAGGTTCTGTGAAAACCCCTACTGGCATTGAATTGAATTTATAGTTTTGAGAATTGGTACTTTTATGATACTGCATTTTCCCAGCTATAATTTTATTTGGAACTTCTTTAAGTTTTCAACAATATGACAGTTTTCTCTATGAAGATATATAAATTTTATTAAATAAAAATATTGCTATGTACTTTTGATATTGTGATTATGTTTTACAAATGTACACTTTTGTTTCTTGTTGAAGAAATACAACTCATTTTTGTATATTGATTTTAATACTTAGGAACCTTTTTAAACTCAGTCTAATAATTTCACTATAGACTCTTTTACATTTTCTGAGAAGTTATAGCTAAAAAATCATTTTTTTCTCCCTTTTAAGTAATACACTTACTCTTCCTTTCTTGTGCTTTTTCCTGGCTAGGACATCTGGAAGTTAATGATACTGTGCATTCTTGCCATGTTCCTAATTTTAAAGTGAACATGGCATTAACATATAATTTTGAGAATATCTATCTATCTAGAGAGAATTTAAAAAATTGCTTCTCAGACCATGTACTAGATTTTAGCCTCACGGAGTCAGGTGATTGTATTTGGTTCACAATGACCTCCTGCTGTTTCTTGACCATTTCCAAGTCCTCTTCTGCTCCTGGACCTTTGAATCTGCCAGGCAGAATATTTCTCCAAATAACTTCACAGCTCACACTGTCATTTCTTTCAAGTCTTTGCTCAAATGTCTCTTTATTGAGAGGCTTTCCTTGATCTCCCTATATAATATGTGTAAGCGAGTCTGATTCCATTTTTATGTTTGCAGACAGCATTTAAGGCTCACTCCTCCCTCGTCCCTTTCTTCACATTGGACAAGCTGGGTAACAGCTTGGCTGCTCCTTTCTTTGACTCTTGTGGGAGCTTTAAACTCCTGTGGAACTATCACCCTGACCACAATCCGGTCTTCTTTCCCTGTTCCCTCAAGCCTTTTCTGTATACTTGCTTGGGAGCTGCCCCACCTTCCCCAGATGGGGAAACCTTATGCAAGTAAGTAACAGCCCCTTTCATGCCCTGTTGGGGTGTGTGTGCCTGTCAGTCTTGAGTCTGTATGGGATGGCCACAGCAAAATAGTATCCTCCTTTACAGTCCATCCTGTGCTTTATTTTTCTTCATAGCACTTACTACCACTTGTCAGGTATTAGTTGATTGTTACTCTTTTCCCACTATAAAAAGGACTGAATGTCCCCAGCATGTGGTGAAATGTCTGGCATAATCATCTACCCATTCAGTAAATACTCACCAAGTATTTACTGAGGGCCTACTTTGGTCAGGTACCGTTAAAGGGACTGGTGCTACGGAGGTGAACAAAGCCCTTGCCCTCGTGAAGCTTACATTCCAGTGTGCAGGATAAGTATTTGAATGTTTGTTTAATGAATGAATACTAATATTATTTTTAATATTAGTCTAGAGGTAAGATAATGAAAGGAAATGTGATATCATATTCTGAATATAACATTTTTATTTTTTTGCTTCAAACGTGCTTATTTTAAAATAATATTTAGGAATGTATACTCACAGGATATGCTATAGGTAACATCTAAAAAAGACAATCAGGAAATATTTTGAAGATTTATTATGTGCTCACTAGTAAAGAGCTCCAAAATCTGCTCACAGTTAGCATTAGTGAGATTAAAGAGTTCATTTCTTGCTAATGATTATAGTAGAATATTGAAGAAAATTTCAACAATTACCATAAGTAAAAGAGTATAATTTTAAATTTCATAAAGGACAGTGGCCATGTTTAGCAGTAGCCTCACTTATAAAGTACCTCATTTCAGTGCTGTGTTTTGATGCTATTTCTTTTCCCTCTTCTTGCAAATAGCCCAAAAGGTACAAACTGCTTCCAGTTGGGAAGTTGGGAATCATAGCTAACTACCTACTTTGCTAATGTTTGCGAAAGGCAAACTGCAAACTTCTGAGTATGTTTCAGCTTCACCAAAAGGGGTATAGTTGCTCCCTCTGCCCACTTTATTCCATGATGAAAGTACACTCTGATTTCTAATCTGAATTTTTGAATTGCAGTACAGAGTTTCAATAACTATCAACATTTCCAACACCAATTTTCCTAATACCCAGAAATACCCACTTAACAGTTGTGAGAGTAATTTGAAAAACTTAATGTCATACAAATATAAGTTATTATAGTAGATAGTAGGAATAATTACATGATTCCTAATCATGTTTATATTTAAGGTATAAACATGAGACTGATTTTTCTGTTACAGAATAAAAAAATAGTGAAGAACATTTCCATTATGTATCTTTGTTCCCAATAATCTCTTTATGACAGATTTGAGAAGTAATACAGAGTGCAAATGTCAATGTACCTTTCATTTCAAAAGGCAAAAAAATGGGATTTAAGGAGTGAGATAATTTCTGTTAGATTTTATATTAGAATTAATGAGTTCATCAATTAACCTTTCTTTTTCTGTTTCAGTTCATTTAATCTCGCCCAAATGAATGGGTCTCTATTGGTTGATCAATGCGATAGAGAAATTCTGCAGGCAGGAAGTATCCAAGATATTCCACTGTATCTGGGGTAGTGTCACAATGGTAGTGTCCACCTTCTCCATGGTGACTAAAACAATGAGTGTGCTCCAATCGCAGATCAAACCCCTACAACACAGACAGCTGTCTGTTAGTATTCAAATGATTTTAGATAGTATTTGTTTTAGGGGAGAGAGGCCATGTTTATTTGTTACAATATTTTATTTTTAAGTACTATATTCACGATGCAAAATTTGAAGGACACAAAAAGACATATTCTGTAAAATGTATCTTCCATCTCCTGCCCTCACCACTCACCTCCTCTCCGTTCAGGCAACCAGTGTGAGAAATTTCTTGTATATCCTTCCAGAAATACTGGTTTAATTTTTTTACTCAGATGGTAGTTCTCTGCATATTGTGCTGCATGTTGCTTCTCTCCATTTAACAAAGTAGCTCTGAGACCTTTGTAATCAAATTGCAGGAGAGCTTCCTTCTCCTTTACGCCTACATGGTATTCTCTTGTCTATAATACCACTTCCCAGCTGATGTTTAGGTTACTTGTAATTCTGCTGTCACAGCAATGCTGTCATGAGTAACTTTCTAACTAATTATTTTACACACTAATGTATACATTTAAGGAAAAACTCCTAGACATATAATTGCTGGATCCAAAGCTACAACTAGTCAGTATTTTGGTAGATATTTGCTTTGACTTGGTCTATACTGTATTATTTTTTTCTAGTGTATAGTATTAGAATCTAATGAACAGTATAATGAACAGCAAATAAGACTACAGGAGACATGAATCCTAGTTGTAATTCTACTCTTTAGTAACATGACTTGGGATGTTGTTTAAGATATCTGTGCCTTCATTTCCTCAAAGGTAAAATCTGCCCTGCCTGACTTACAGGGTAGTTAGTCACCAGCTGCCTTATCTTTGAATATAATTCCAGAGAACATCCCAGTTCTTAAGTAAGAACAATAAATACCTTACTCTAAAAAAAATTCTCAAATTTGAGCATTTTCATTGTAGTATATACTGCAGTGTGAAAGACAGGTATATACACTTACTGGGTCTCTGGAGACAAAAACTGGCAGACAAACCAAAGGAGCTTTCATCTCATAAAAATTCAACCAGTTATTCACCTTCTCATCAGAGTTCAATGGGCAGGATGAAAACTCTGCAGGCTACAATAAAAGATCATTAAACAGACAAACATACAGGTTATTATTGAGAATTAAAATTTTAAACTACATGTAATTTCATTAAGTTAAAAATTTTAAGCCTTCTTATTAACATTTTATTGTTTGGGCATCAAAAGAAGTTATACACCCTAGTTTTCAAAAGGATTACCAATCAGTGTGTACAAACGAAAACATATGAGTGAATAAATGAAGGATTGAGTCTATTGCTTTCTTTTTATTTTTCATAGCCTCTCAGTTTTCCTGGGATTACACCTTCATCCTAATATTAACTCTCAATCACTGCTACTGGTAGATTGAAAAAAAAAAGCAAGGCATTAAAAGTGGGTAGAAACATCAAAACAAATAAAATACTTAGGAATAAACTTAAGGAAGCAAAAGACTTGTACACTGCAAACTACAGAGCATTGCTGAAAGAAATTTCAGAAGACTACGATAAATGGAAAGAGGTCTTATGTTCACAGATTGGACAACTTGATATTGTTAAGATGCCAGTACTACCAAAGGCAATCTAAAGATTCAGGCTGCTCCCTATTAAAATCCCAATGACCTTTTTTGCAGAAATAGAAAAACCCATCCTCAAATTCACATGGAATCTCAGGGGACCCCAAATAGCCAGACCAATTTTGGAAAAAAAGTTGGAGGTCTCAGATTTCCTGATATCAAACTTACTACAATGTTATACTAATCAAAATAGTGTCATGTTGGCATAAAGACAGACATACAAATCAGTGGAAGAGAGATTCCAGAAAAGAACCCTATGTGTATGGTCACAGGATTTTTGACAAGAGTGCCAAGACCATTCAGCGAGGAAAGGCAGTCTTTTTAACAAATGGTCCTGGGAAAGCTGGATATCCACATGCAAAAGAATGAAGTTGGACCCTTAATTTACACTGTCCAAAAGTTAATTCAAAGTAGACCAAAGGCCTAAATGTAAGAGCTAAAACTCCTAGAAGAAAACAAAGAAAAAGTTTCACAACACTGGATTTGACCATTTCTCAGATATGACATCAAAAGTACAGGCAACAAAAGGAAAAATAATTAAGTGGGACTATATCAAACTAAAACTAGAAAGCTCTGCACAAGAAGGGAAAGAAGAAAATGAAAAGGCAACATATGGAGTGGGAGAAAATATGTGCAAATACCTGTTTCTGATAAGGAAGTATCCAAAATAAATAAGCAACTCTTACAACTCAACAATAGCAAAAAAAAATGCAATTTAAAATGGGCAAAGGAACTGAATTAGACATTTCTCCAAAGAAGACATACAAAAGGCCATCAGGTATATGAAAAAGTGCTCAACATCACTTACCAGAGAAATGCAAACCAAAACCATGAGATGTCACCTCATTCCTATGAGGATGGTGATCAAAAGACAGATAACAAGTGTTGATAAGGATCTGGAGAAAAGGACCCCTTTTACTTTGTTGATGGGAATATAAACTGGTACGACTGGAAGGGCCTCAAAAAATTAAATCCCTGTGATCCAGCAACCCCACTTCTGGGTAGATATCCAAAGGAAATGAAAATGGATAGATATCCATGCTCCTATGTTTATTGAAGAGTTATTCACAATAGCCAGGATATAGGAGCAAGTGTCGGTTAATGCACAAATGGATAAAGAAATTACTTGATGTTTATGTATGTATGTGTGTGATAAATATATAAATTATATATGAATGTATATATCATGTATATAAATATCACATGTAAATGTGCTATATGTATACACACACACACACACACACACACACACACATATATATAATTGTGATATACATGTAGGGGATATTAGGCATAAAAAAGAAAGAAATCCTGCCACTTGCAACGACATGGATGAACTAAGTAAAATAAGCCAGATACAAATCGACAAAGATTGCATGATATCACTTATTGGAATCTAAAAAAGTCCAACTTAGAGAAACAGTAGAACAGTGGTGCCAGAACCTAGGTAGTGGGGGAAATAAGATGCTGGTCAATGGGTATAGACTTCAGCTGTAAGATGAGTAAGTTTTAGAGAGCTTATGTATATCATGGTAACTGTAGTAAATAATAATGTATTGTGTACTTGAATAAAAAATTATAATTCACTATTTACAAATAGATTTATCTGTAATTCTCTTTTTAATAATTTGCAAAGTTCAGTGTCACAAATGTCTTCCTGTGCAGGATCAGCTCACTTGCCATTTAAAATTATCAGGATAAAAAAACATTAAAACCATAGATTTTCTGATGGCTTTACTGATAAAACAAGAAGTTAAAATCACTTTTACACTTCATGCATTCATTCACCTACAAAAAATTATTTCAAAAGTAGGGAATGCCCTGGGTCTGGCTTATTTGTATTCCATTCTTAATGTCTTATAAAATTACATATTTAGCTCATAGGATTATAATTTTCATGAATTCTTTCTCTAAAACCACAGCCATCTTAACAACAAAATCTATATATGGAGTTTGGGATTCTGGCAATGAAAATTATGTTTCTAAGGCTCACACTTGGCATCTGTCTTAATCTTAAAAACAAACACTCTGAGAAGAAATACATATTTTATAAATTATATATAAGTCTAACAAAAAAGGACTCTAGCTAGACATTATCTCACAGTAGGACTTACAGTATTGTCATTTAAGTTTTAAAGTAATACAATTACAGCAGAAGTATTCAAGGCATCTTTAAAGGCAGAGTTCTCAATGTATATTAAAAAATCCTGAGACCTTAAGTACATGCATACACACAAAAGCACACACAGGCCCTTACCATTATGTGAGTCTTCACTTTTCCGTTCTGAATTACAAAAGTACCTCCCATTCCTACAGGCTTATCTCCATAATGTTTCTCAAGAGTCTGTCTCATGCAAGTCACAAAATTAAGTTTTCCAGTTCTTCTTTTAGCTTTCACTTCAATGACCTAGAGAGGACATAAATATGTATACCATTATTCTAAGCTGCAAAATTTTATGTAAATAACTACCAGTGTGAAACAATGTAATGCCATCAAGCAGGCATTCACTTGTTTGCTTGGAGCACCAGAAAAGAGTTGAGTGAGGTGTCTCAATCCTCCATAAGCCTTGACAATTACATATATATATCAGTTGTACAGATGCACATAAGTTATCATTTACTAAGTTTTACTCATGCTTTCTTGGACTAAGAGAAAGTTACAACTAAGTCCTACTCTGAACTCTACAGATTCTTATATCAAAGTGGTAAAAGGTTGAGATTGGGGTGGGGAGGAGAATACATTTTCTCACTTAAAATTCTGGACTTACGTCACTTCCATTTTATTAGGTCTTTTTACTTCACTACCTTATTTCTCAAAGTACCTGAAGCACTTATCTCCATGAAATATGAAAGTTCTCACAGCTGCTAACACTGAAGTCATCTTTTTGTGTACTAACAGGAAGTAAATACGAATTGAAGCATTAATTTACCTTCTTGCTGTAGTATCTTGCTATCACCATTTCTGTCTAGCTCAATGTCAGATCAGTCAGGAATGAGCAAATTGCCTCTCTACTAACTATAGCAGTGGGCATTATTTATTTATTTCAGCTGCATGGTTCCCCTATTCAAGTAATTCGCTCCCCACATGAATACTCTGTTACTTTTTAGTTCCTCTGAAAAAAGGGTAGTGCTTACTATGTATTATTTTTAACCTCAGTTTTAAAAAAAGACTTTGACATTGCCTATGTACTCTGAATCTTTTACTAACTGGGTTATTTAAAGAGCTTTGACTTTGGTAGCTTTGGATTTTCTTAATAAAACCCTATTTGCACAATAGAAGTTCACATTTTTAGTTATCTGAGAAGAGAGAATACGTTTTTATGACCAAAATCACCTTTCCAGCTTGGCCCTCACTGGCAAAAAGATTAGCCAGTAGTGCACACCCAAAATCGTGATATTTCTCACTGTATTTCTCTAGAAGGCACCCTCCATCTGCAGGATTAACACGGGCAAAGTAACTTCCATTCACAGGAGGTTTGTGTTCACTTTCTGTTTGAACAACTGGCATAAACTGAAAAGAAAAGTAAATAAGGTAATTAGTCTGTCCTGGTATCTCTAAGTAAAGAGAGTATCTTGAATAATGCAACAAAATATTTTGTCCTAGGCTTTAAGACATTTAATTTCAAGACTTACTAAGAAAAATGAAATATGACATTTAACTTTAGATTCAAAATGTTTAAAGATTTATAAATATCCAAAAACTGAAAAAACTTTATAAATATTTATAGTATTTCTTAGTGTTTCTATAACATTTAACATTTGCTTTAAAACACCTAATTTTAAATTTTAAACTTTTTTTGTCTTGAACACTAGGGAAATTATACTAATCTTTCTGCAAAAGAACTTGTCTTTGCCTAACAGTCACAGCTGAAGAGGCCCAGCATGCTTCTATTCATGAGACGTGGAGAAACAGGTATCTGCATGTTGGATACACTGACACACACAGTAACAGATTGATACCACTGGGGTAGGTCGCTACTATTTGGTCTGAAAGATGGAATTGACTAGATCATGAAATATTCCACTCATCTGCTGATCAAAAGCTGCCCTCTTACCAAAGGCAGAGATTTATAGAAAAGGTAGGAATCTCCTGATGTATAAAGATTAAAATCTTTCACAATCCAGGGTCCTCATCAGACAACCTTAGGACCTTCAACTCATCTAAGACTAAGTGTACACCCTGAGACAATCTGAAATTAGAGCTCAGTGTTCCATTATAGTTGGACCAGTTGGAGCATGTGCTATAGTCCAAATCTATATCAGGAAGTATCAAACCTATAGAGAAATAGGACATCAATAACTTACACTTCATTCAGAAAGCGGACTTCCTGATAGGGCAGTATGAGAAAAAAGATGAACCAAATATCAAATAAGTAAAATAAAATAACCATGTTTGCTGACCTCAGAATTAAACCCAAGAGTCTGAAATGGGCCTGCACCTGCTCCAAGAATAAAAGCTCCAGGAAGCTTGATTTCTTTTGCAATCTTATTTAGATCATAAACCTGTGCAAGGAGAAAACAGTATTACTTAAGTAACTTATACAGATCTCCTGGTTTACTTTTTACGTCTAAGTATTTATCCATTAATGCTTCCTTGCCACACTGGTCGGTGGATGTTCTAACGATAAAAGAGCAACCAACCCAACTTCTACCATCTTCATGGGAATGTGAAAAGTAAAAGTACACTTACTTTTTTTGGATTTACAAGAGGCAGTAAGTAAGGCACACCTCCTACCTCTGCAATTCTAGTTTTCCCACAGATGCCTTTAAAAAAAGAAAGCCATCTTAAAAATAGGCAAACATATATTAAGTGTAAAATGCCAGAAAGCACGAATTTAATTTATTTAGAGTATATAACTTCTCCATTCTCAGTTTCACAAGATATAAGTAGCTAGGACTCCTGTTCTGATATTCTGTGCCCCCAGGATCGTCATAGGCCAGCATGGCTTGATACAGTTGGTAGCATAAAGGCAACAGGAAGTTGATGATAGGGCAAGGGCCAGAACTGGGGCCAAAGTTTGAATTGGATGAGATTTCTAGAAGTCTGTAATGGCTTATTCCTTTAAAAATCATTAATTTTTTTAGGAGGTGGGGTTGGCCAAAATTGTATTCTAATTTAAAATATTTTGCTTTGATAGAATATTAATTCTTTTAGAAATCCATATTGAAGTCCTCTTGTCAAAGTTGTTTATAAAAATGACAAGAAATTAGAACTTCAGGTGCTAAGAACTTTCTACTTACGTTTCTAATTAACATCAGCTAGACATAATTTGGGAGAAAGCATATTCTTTTCTTTCTAATGTAGAGTGGAAAATAATTACCTTTCACTTGAGAAAAAGTAGTCAGTTTGATACTAACATCATTACACAGTGAAGTAGATATAATTGCTCTACTTCAGCTATGCAGAAGGTGGAACAAAATTTTTATGAATACCATTTATAATTAGAGATTTTGTAAATGTTTTCTATGGGATCAGCAGAAACTACTCAAGGGTAAGACAGTTTCTCATAAGTGATAGTAATGTTGAAGTTTAGAGAAACCTTTAGGGGACTATTCTAGTAATCCAGGGAAGACAAGGTGAGCTAAAAGTGGTGACTGTAGAGATAGAGAAGAGGAGATTAACAAAAAGGACAAAGAAAGGAGAATAGGCCGCTCTGGTGAAGGAGGGAGCTAACTTGTAGATATGTCGACCTCGAGTTGTCCTTAGCATATGTAGCAGACAGCTGGACTTACTGATCCACAGCTAAGAAAGACCCAGGCGAGATGTACAGATTTCAAAGTTGTATCCAAGTAGTAATTAAAACCACAGGAACAGATGGAAAAGCCCAGAGAGACTGTATAGAAAAAGAGAAAGAAGAGGAAAGAATCCTGGAAAACATTAAAATGTAAGAGCCTGCCCAAAAGAGAACATGGAAAAATGAAGAAGAAAGAACACAGAGACAGGAAAGGCACCAGGGAAGAAGAGGCAGAAGAAGCAGGGAGGAGAGAGCCCAGGAGACGGGAAATTCGGGAAGCAGGGGCCGGACAGCACGAAACACGGGAGAGGTCACGTAGTACCAGTGACCATACCGAGGTCTTTGGTGACTTTAGTAAGTCCAGTTCATGTAGAAAGTGCCTAATTGTTTACAAAAGATCATCCATATATAAATATACATATCTGGCTTTGTCAGTATCATGATTGAAAGACTCACAAATTATTAACCAGAAAACTCTTTGGAATGCAAAATTATGATTAGGCATTTTTTCTTTTTTCTTTGTACTCTTCTATATTTTCTGATTTTGTATTTTATTTTAATTAATTAGTAGGGAGAATATAATTACTCGTATAGTTGGAAGACACATGGCCATAAAAAAGTATTATGCTAAATGCTTCCAAAGAGCAAAGAGAAATTGCCATCTGGTAGACAAAAGCTGTAGAACCTACAGCTCTACTTCCATCAAAGACTGTTTAAGCTAGAAAGACCCAAAAAGAGCATCAAACCCAAATGTCCCCCATTTTAATGTATCCTAAGCCCAAATACATTTTTATTTAGCTTACCCAACATAATGAAAGCTATACGTGGCAGAGAAAGAACTAGAGTCCAGGACTTCTATGTAAAACTACTTTTTAGCAAGATGTCAATGGCTTAATAAAAGTGAGTGAGTGAGTTTGTCTCCAAATCCCTCATAAGTGGGAGAAGTTCAAATCTGGAAGCTGATGGACTTGGATTTTTTAAAAATTTTTTTATTAAGGTATGATTGATATACACTCTTATGAAGGTTTCACATGAAAAAACAATGTGGTTACTACATTTACCCATATTATCAAGTCCCCACCCACACCCCAATGCAGTCACTGCCCATCAGTGTAGTCAGATGCCACAGATTCATTATTTGCCTTCTCTGTGCTACACTGTTTTTCCCCGTGATCCCCCCACACCATGTGTGCTAAACATAATACCCCTCAATCCCCTTCTCCCTCCCTGCCCCCTGCCCTCCCACCCCCCTGCCCTTTGGTAACTGCTAGTCCCTTCTTGGAGTGATAGACTTGGATTTGAATCCTGATAGTGATTCACACTGAGTCTTCTTGACTTCTCCTGATCTTCAGTTTTCTCATCTATAAACTTACCCTGTAGTGTTATTATAAAGATAAAACATCAGATATAGGTGTCTACATATACTGTGTGACAAATTATATTTATTCACCCAATATTAATTTCCCTTCTCACTTTAAACACTGGCTGATTGATAACTTGGCAAATCTGTTGAAGGGATATGAGTACTTAATAGGTGATTGAAATACAAAGCTTTTAAGATCCCCTGATCTTGAATAAATACAAACATAGTAATTAAATTTCTGTAACAGTCACTTGAGCAACTAAAAACAAAATTCACATGTGATATCAAGGAGTCTAGCCTACTAAATATTACATAACCTGTGAAAATAACGAAGTGCATTAAACAGTATTTTCCTGCAAGGTTATAAAATGGTATTTGACCAAAGATAGGAAAACAATGAGCAAAGAGATTAAGGACAATTTAGTCTAAAATTTGGGAGAACATCCTTTATTTATAGATAACTTAAGATGATCCTTAAAAATAATTCTGTTTTCTAAAAAAGATTAGGACTAAAAAACAAAAGTGAATTGTATCTTTTCTTGGAGGAGAGAATATGTTGTAAAAGACTCTCAAAAACAAAACTGCTTACCTTTTACAGGAAAGGTAAATGGCTCCTTAGTCAAATCAGGGCAGTTAACTACAGAGACCTGGACATCAGCAAAGTTATCCTTCAGCCCCTTTTGCAGAACTGGGAAGACAAGGAAAAGGGTAAATAACAGGTAAAGTTGGCCACTATATATTAAACCTTCCCTCATTTTTTTTGTGTATCACACTCCCAACTTTAACTTGTGTAATTGGAAAAGAGGGAGAGATAGTAATGAATACAGTTAGACATTAGACACATAGCTAATCACAAGATAGAATATCAACTAAGACAAACAGGTAGACTCCATAAACACCACTGTAAGTCTGGAGTGTAAACTCTTAAAGATAAATGCTGTACTAAGGTGAGGACTACCTTCCTTGTGGAAGAGAATTCCGAAGACCTACTCAAAAGTAAGTGTTTAAACCATTAGAAAGTAAGCGGACAGGTAACAACTGCATTGATGCCTACCAACAAAGTGGTGAGCAGAAGAAGCAAGACCCAGGAGTATATACTATAACTTCACTTACATGTAGTTTAATAACAGGCAACCAGTCTAAGGTGACAGAAGTCAACAGTGGTTCCTTTCCAGGGTAGAGATACTGACTGGGAAAATGTGAAGGAGCCTGCTGGGATGCTGCAAATACTTTATGTCTTGATAGAGATAGTGGTGATGTGGGTGTAAACATGTTAAAATTCATCAAGCTGTAATTTGAGATTAGTATACTTTACTATACATATGTTATACCTCAATTAAAGAAAGAAAACAAGCATAAGTGTTTCAAAGGTATAAATCTAAGAACAAGGTACTTTTAAGGATGAAAAATTCCTATAAAAATGTCTCCATAGTAGTGTCAGCCATCAGTTTAAGTCTTACAGAATCAGATGCTCTAAAAATATGAAGTCATCCTACATTTAACCATATAGATATTCCATGCCATATCCATTCCATCCCATAGATACTCTATATGAGAACAGAAACCAACTGCCTGGAAAATTCCCCTGCCTAGACTGAACACTTAAGTATATGAATTAAGATTTAGTAAAAACTATTTTTTTACCAATTACAAAGGGGCCATGTTCTTGCTATAGGATTTTCTGGAAAAAGAAATTAAATTATAAAACAAAAAACTTACTATCCCATTTCTATTTTGAACTGAATGTGTCCCATACCTACAGAAGGAAAATAGCGACACAAGCACATAAGGGAGGTGCGTGTAGAAAGGTTCTGGAAGAGCGCTAGCCGTCCTGCTGTGTCCCGGACGACAGGAAGACTGATGGGAAAGGAATGCAGGCAAAGAGTACTAGTGACACAGATGGCTTACCAGCTGCCATTCACTTCAGAAAAAATAAAGGAAGGTTGTAAGAAGAGAGCCCCAGCCAAGGAAAACGTGTGTACACTTGACTTCCACCACATCAGGACGACAGATGTACTAGGACGGATACACTTTGAGAAATAAGGGTTGGTTTCACAGTTACCATCAGAATAGGACTAAAAAGCCTGTCAAATTTCACATTCTGACAAGCTCTACAGTTTTAGGTTAGTACTGTTCCTGGCTTCATGTTACATTCCTGTGTTCTTCTCTCTCTCCCCCCTAACAAATCTTGCGAAGCTGCCCTAAAGTCTTGTTCGAGCAAGATGAAATGCATAAAAATATGTGCAGACTGAGAAATCTCAGCTCATTGGGAGGCAGTCATCATCAGGAGGGGGGAAAGCAGTGTATTGGGAAATGATTAATACACCACAATAGATTATATGAAGAATATTGTAACTGGTTAAAGTTAATAGAGCCAAATCCTGCAACTGTTTGGGCATCACAGATAATTAAATCTTGGATTCCTATGTTCATTTCATTCTGTGAAGTTGGTATCAAGAATCTGCAAATGGTGAGTTTAGTGTTTGTGGAGGGGCAGAATTTTGGACTGTCTCAAAAATAATACACAACAGAGACTGAAAAGGAAAATGAGTTATGTATTGAAAATACTATTGCATAAATCACATCTTAGGTTTTTTTCCCTTAGAATAATTTTTAAAGCTCAAGATTAGTATTGTATTTACCTCCAACAAGTTCCTCTAGACTTGGCACATGAAAAGAATACTCAGTACAAGCCATTTTCTTTCTTCTTTAGGTGCAAGGATGTATAAATAAAGCTATTGTAAGGCTAATTATCACAAGAGTTCACATTGCGTCACAGTTTCTGCTCTGGAAATGAATATTAAGAGGTCAGTTACATAAAGAGGGCAAAGGGGCTTTTAGGTTTCTGTCCTCACAGAAAGGCAACCACAACCTCTAGTATTTAATATTCCAGAGGAGACATAAATTGCCAAGTAGACTCTTTTAGTACTGATACTTAAACAGTTAACATTTAAAATAGGCAAGAGATGAAATGCCAAATGAAGAGCGCACATGATTGATTTTCTTTAGTCATATGTCTGGATTGAACATGCAATTTTCTAATAATTAGTCTAAGGAATATAGGTCCTGAAACAGAAGGTATAGTTATTAAGGTAAGTGTTTAAATGATTGTAAATAACAGTAGAGGACGCTCAAGTACTTTTATAATAAATCATTTGTGTTTTCTATATTTGACATTTAGGCTAAAAATTAAAGAAGTTTCTTAAGACTATTACTTTTACATAAGAAAATTTAAATTACTAAGAAAGATGGAAACTCCTACAGATAATTAGCTGTTGAAATTCAAATTACTACAAATTTCTTTTACAAATAAATATACTTTCTTTGTAAGCAGCTTTAATGTTCAATTATTTTGATAACCAATTATAAGTTGGTATTTTAAAAATATATGCTATGTATATTTTACAAATATATTATACAGAGATTAGTATCTTACCTCAAGTGTTCAGGTGATGAGGTGGGCTGAGCAGAGGGAGATAAATAAAATGAAGACAAAAACAAACAAACATAGTTTGAGGTGGACAGGGATTCTCTTTCTAAAGCTGGTTACAAGTAATAAAGACAGAACTCGAGGGTATTTCTAAGAGTACTGTTGGGTTCTCATTAAAATTGTTCATGGAACACCTCATTAATCTTAATTGTCTCTGGTAACACTTGGCAAGTGAAAGGTGTTCAGCATCACTTAAAAAATTCTTCTGAAAAATTTCAAAAGATTCATAGCTTTCTTAGAAACTGGGTTTCTAGTTTTGATGGTCATTTCAAACAACATTTTCTCCATAAACACCCTATTGCATACATTTAGGACTTAACATTTACCTTAGTACCTTAGCAAATACCTATTCTTATTATCCTTTAATTACTTAATATGCATAATCTGGTCTCTCAAATAAAATATAAACTGTTGATAATGGACCCCAAGTCCTATATAATATTTCAATTATCTCACTTTTGAGTTAATAATCTTTAATTGTTCATGAATGAGATACTTGTAACTTTTCCTTTTGAAATAATTTCAGATGGCCAGATATAAAAAATTGCTATATATTTTTCACCTAGATTTTCTAAATGTTAACATCGTACCATATTTTCTTCATTGGAAACCAGCCAAGTACTAATTAAGAACATTATAAAATCTGCTCAATGAATACCATATTTATAATGAGGATAATAAAAGCTCTTCAGGTATTTCTACTTACAGCAGGAATAATAAAGACCTCAAGTTTAAATTCAAATGCCATCCTAATTTTACACCCTTTAGTGTCCTTAAAAGATGGTCAGATTTTCTTGTTCTCTTTCCCCACCAAAACAGAGACAAAGTCCAACCCTGGGAGGCTCCAGCCTGAATGACTGATTTAGAAATGGAGATCTTCAGACAAGCCAATAGCCCAGTGGCAGTGAGGTTGGGTATATGTGAGAGGGAGGCTGGGGGAAGAGGCTGGAGTTGGAGTGATGAGAGAAAGGGGCTGGTTCCAATACCAACTCAGAGTGGCTCCAGGAGGACCGCCACATGGAGGCACATATATATATATACCCTCCAGATCCATTACTGGGAATCACTGGCCCAGAAGTAGCATCTAGAGATGGGAGGAACAGAAATGAGCAGTTGGAGAGGTGGAGCTGCAGAGACAACACCTAAAGGAGAAGAAGGAAGAAACTGTGGCGACCAAGCTGGCAACTATTAACTGCACATTATATACCAGACACTATGTGAGGGACTTTTCAGATGCTCTTTCAAACTTCACAACCACGCAGATAATGTCCTCAGTTTACAAAAGGAAATAGGCCAAAGAGAATGTATGATTTACTCAAGATCACTGAGCTACTACTACACAGAAACAGAATTCAAACCCAAAGCCAGCCCACCAGAAAGCCAGAACTCTGCTCATTAGACCGTGTGGGTTAATTGATGGTAGGAATAACACATTTCAGTTCACACTAGGGAAGAACTTGTATAGTGCCATCTTATAGCACAGGGACTATACCTGTGACCTTGCGCCTGCTTTGTTTCTTCCCCTACATTGTGATCTCTTTGAAGATGGGACTGTGTTTCACGTATCTGTCAGAAGCACCTAGCATAGAGTGGGCACCAGTTCAGCCTTAATTATTTATTGAACATTTACGAAGTACAGACCAATAAGGCTCTGGGACAGGGTTGGTTTCATGGGTGTGCAGCTAGTATAGTTATGTGGGGGTCATGTGCTCAGAATGGCACTTAGTTTAATGCTCTGCTGTCCCCTTTAAATTCTTAACTTTATGTTTGAACTTTTGTTTTAGACCAATCTGACAACAGCATGCATAGGACAGAGGAGGGAGGCACAATGTGCATGTCTACCACTGTTCCTCGCCGCTCATCCACACACTGTTTATGAAGCTCCGTGAGCATAGAATCCTGGTGGACCCATCAGCAAGACTCAAAAGTCCCTGGATTCCACAGTGTTGGTAGAATGTGCATGTAGCAAAAAGTAAAATAAATACGGCTCAGTTCTGTGCACTTTCCACTGTTCAGGTAAGAAAGAAATACATATGCTTGTATGAGCTATGAAATACGAATTAGGAAGTTTCAGCAATTCTCCATGAGTTAAATGTTTTATATTTATATTTAAAACTGGCACTGCACAATATAAAGAATGGTAAAATTTATGCTAATAATACATATTGTTAATTTTTCCTTAGAATGACATTAAATAAGTTAATGCTACTAACCAATAATAGCATAATTAATAATAGCACGGTTAAAATACTATTAATAATTAATGGAAAGTTAATGTTCATTAAAACACCATGATAAGTCAAAAAAGATATTACAAAAGAAAGGAGACAGCTTATATTTTAGTACCTTTTATGGCACCTTTCCCCTGCCTTTAGAAGAAAGGACCCTACTTGTTCTTTTTGTACTGAGCCTCACGGCCTTCCTAGCCGGTGCCTGCTCCCAAATGCGGCAGCGAGTGACAGACGCGTGGTGCCTGTCCTGGAGCCTACACTAGTTTCTAGACTGCAAGTGCCTATAGCAGTGGGCTTTTTGTGCTGTTATTATTCAATATTTAGAGCACAATTGAGTAAAGAAACCAGATTACTTTCAAGTTCTGTCCAATCCCAAGATAACACTAATTATAAACTAAGTCTAGGCAGCTTTGTTGGTTTATCATGTGATCCAAGATATCTGAAAGTGGACAAATCAAACCATGTCATTCCTTCTTATAACTATGGGGGAAAAACCCACCACAACTAAACTAGTTGAGACTGTTTCTGAACAGTAACCGTTCAAAGAATTAAGGGAGAAAAAACTCGAAAAGAAAATGCACCGCTGGTGTCTCGTGATATGTTAACCTGCTCGTGGGAGGCTGACCCTTAGCGTAGAGCGAGTGAGCCAACAGGGCAAGTCCAGGGGTGGAGGGGACTGGGGTGCTGTGCAGTAACTGTGGCCTCCCGTGCAAAGGTTACACGTTCTGACTCACGGACAAAGCACGATCCTTTCGCAGTTTAACACAGAAGAGATTTTCAAAGGCAAAAGTAGACATAGTATGACAAAATTCACCCAACACCAGACACACAGACTCGTACACAGCCCAACGCACCCGGGACCAGGATTTACTAAGTCAGATCAACTCAGCAAGTGCGAAACCACCGGAAACAAATCAGAATGTTCCCTTGCAGTGCAGTTCACATCCATTCCGTTCACTTGACCCCACAGAATTTGTCATTTGCCGAAATGTTCTTGGCTATTGCACTTACCTAATCGGTTCGGGTAGCCTACACCTGCAACCGAAG